CCAGCCTTCTGGTTAGCAGTCAAGTGCCTTAGGCACTACGCTACCAGAGCTCCTAAAGCATGATAATAGTCAAGCCTAAAAAGCAGGAGATGTGGAAACAGTAGAAATACTACTAATAATTTAGGATACAACAAAGACTGACCAGCATGTTTCCTTCTGAAAGTATTTTAGTCCCTGATTAATGAAATTTAGAAAATGCAAAAGAAAAATAAGGCAAATTGTAAATGAAGAGGAAATATTACATAATATTGGAAAGCTATGGATTCTAGCATCAAACTCTCTGAAATTAACATAAGGAGATGATTAAAAACAAACAAACAAACAAACAAACAAAAACAACTGTTTTAGAGTCCCTGGATGATGTAAACTGTTATAATGCACTCAGCTACTAACTGGAAGAATGAAAGCATCTCAGGAGAAAGTCTTGGAGATCTACTTCAGTAAACCCAGCTCTACTCTGACACATAAATTAGTAATCATAGATTGAAATCAACTCAACAGAAACAAATACACTTTAAAAATAAATAAATAATAGTCCTAATTTATGTGATCTAATCTTGATAAGTTGCAGATCAGATCACTGTAATCCATAAGGCTTAAAATTTTGGAAGTAGATTGCCAGGTCCTTTTTCCTAGTCTACCTTAGTCTGGAAGCTTCCCTGGAACCTGTTTAGTATCCTATCAACATGCAAGCATCCACTGAAAGATGAGTGGTGGCTGCAAATGAGCTGTATTGGCCAGGAATTGAATCTGGGTCTCCAGCATGGAAGGTGAAAATTCTACCACTGAAATTCTACCTTCAGTTTATACAAACTGCCTTCAGTTTACACAAACTTGTGGCTAACTGGTAAAGACTATCAATAACCACTGTTGAACATATTTTGAAAATGGTAGTGATGCTGATCACAACAAAAATGCATTTAACAAAAGTACTGGTTTAAACTTATCTAAGTTAGTTTGTTCATATTCTCTTTGTCTTTCTCTATCTCTATTAATCTTTCTCTGTGTCTCTGTCTCTCTCCCTGCCTCTACTCTCTCTCTTTCTCTTAAACACACATGTACATGCACACACACACACATGCACACAGCCCAGACCAGACCACTATATGTTTAAATGCTTTATATTTCAAATGCTTTTGAGTTATGAGTAAGTCATGATGTACATCCTCAAGTGTTATATGTATCACTATAGTACCACAATATCTGCCAACATCATCTTACCCAATGAATTTAAAAATCAATCAATTTAAAATGAGAAATTTTACTAAATGCCTTCTGGAATAAATTAATTGCTGAATATCAATACCGAAAAAATATTTTCAAATGTTTTCTTCTGACCATTAGAATTTCACTGCCTAACAATCTGCATGTTGTTATTCTAATTCACTGGGGATATTGCTGTTTTATTGGTAAGATTCTAGGTCATATCAACATGGTGGTGGAATCAATGGAAGAGTCTAACACCTCATCTACAGACTTTACCTTCATGGGGCTGTTCAACAGAAAAGATACCTCAGGATTTCTTTTTGCCATTATCACTGTCATCTTCTTCACAGCACTGACAGCTAATGGGATCATGATCTTCTTGATCCACACTGACTCCCGCCTCCACACCCCCATGTATTTCCTGCTTAGCCATCTCTCCTTCATTGACATGATGTACATCTCCACCATTGTGCCCAAGATGTTGGTTGATTATATCCTGGGCCAAAGGAGTATCTCTTTTGTGGGTTGCACTGCTCAGCATTTCCTCTACCTCACCCTCGTGGGAGCAGAATTCTTCTTGTTGGGCCTCATGGCCTATGACAGGTACGTGGCCATTTGTAATCCTCTGAGATACCCTGTCCTCATGAATCGCAGGGTTTGTTGGATGATCATAGCAGGATCTTGGTTTGGTGGCTCTTTGGATGGCTTCCTCTTAACCCCTATCACCATGAGCTTTCCCTTCTGCAATTCCCGGGAGATTAACCATTTCTTCTGCGAGGCACCTGCAGTCCTGAAGTTGGCATGTGCAGACACAGCTCTCTATGAGACAGTGATGTATGTGTGTTGTGTTTTGATGCTGCTAATTCCTTTCTCCGTGGTGATTGCCTCCTATGCCCGAATCCTGACCACAGTCCATCGCATGAGCTCAGTGGAGGGGAGGAAGAAAGCATTTGCCACCTGCTCATCTCACATGATTGTGGTGACCTTGTTCTATGGGGCAGCAATGTACACGTACATGCTGCCACACTCTTATCACACTCCAGCCCAGGACAAAGTGCTCTCTGTGTTCTATACCATTCTTACACCCATGCTGAACCCTCTTATCTACAGTCTGAGGAACAAGGATGTGACTGGGGCTCTGAGGAGGGCCTTAGGGAAGATCAAGTCTCCACAAAAAGTGTCAGGGGATACCTTCTGATGGCTATTTCCATGTAAGTGGTGAATAGGAGACCATGGCTAGTATAGTAGATACAAAATTATGTCCTCTTTGTCTCTTATGCTTTCATTTTTTTTTTTTGCTTGTTTGTTTTGTTTTGTTTTATAGATATTCCCTTTCTACTGCCATGTCCACTTGTACTTATTTAATAAATGCCCTTTGGTTTCCAGAAACATAAATTTAAATATAAATCCTTTGGAATTTTACCTTCTAAATTTAACATAAGTGGCATGCTGTTTTCAATCATGTAAATTGTACTGTGGAGTGAAGCATGTTGTTGTTGTTGTTGTTGTTAAGGGCTATTGAGTCATCTCTGACTCATAGTGACACCATGTTCAGCAGAACAAAACACTGCCTGGTTCTGTGCCAACCTCATGATCCCTGCTATGTCTGAGTTCACCAATGCAGCCACTGTGTCAATCCATCTCAATGAGG